CCAAAGCCTCCATGTGCACAGTGTTGAATATGACAATAAATGGCAGAAGAGGCATACACTAGATGCAGAAATAAATGTCCTTGTTTCTCTTTGACTTTGTCAAGAACCTTTGCACAAACCACACCACATCTCAGTTACAACCTCAATGTTCACACATCACTGCTGCACTCAAAACACTTGCTGCTGACACATACTTAGACTTACACTTGTTAAGAAACTGAGGTGCAAATGGTTCTGCGAGCAGCGAACTCTCAGGTTTAACGCCCTGTCTCTTTTTTCTTATTTAATTACCTTTTGTTCTTGTTCATTGCAGAGTTCTTCTCCTCAGCAACACTCCTCCTCCACTGGTGATCCGTACAGGCATTTGAGCACGTCTCTACAGCTCCATGGTTGGCCTTGCTCCTCCTTTATCTCCTCTGTGTCCTCTATGTGTTACTGTGCACTGGACAGCAAGAGCAGGCACAGCAGGGAGGGCTGCTCGAGGTCGAAGGCTGCTCACCTACACTCATCGACTAAACTCCGCGCCTAAGTCCTGCTTATCAAACGACTCTATGAGTGAGTTAACCTCCTTCTCGCTTTATCTGTCAACCACAAATCAGTAACAAAGCAGACCTCATGCCTCCGTTTCCTGCAACAAAGCAGACATGCCAAGACAAAATGCCCCAAAGAAGCCTCGAAGTAGAGTGCAAAAACTCGCAACAGTCATTCACTCGTCCCCTCAACATAAACAAGTCAGCATCTTAAATGGAGGAACTGGCTCTGATAGATAGGGGAACTCACATCAGTTTCTGTGTGTGTGTTTGTGTGTGTTTGTGTGTGTGTGTGGCCGTGTGCAAGGGGGAGGGGAGAGCGAGTGAGAGAGAGAGAGTTAGAATTGTGAACACAAATGGAGTACCAATAGAGGAAGGAGGAGGAGAGTTAGAGAGAGATAGTGATGAGCAATCATATGAGCATCAGTGTACTTCAAGAGGGGAACTCTCGGGTTCTTTTTAAGTGTCAACACAGGAAAAAAAAATAGGCCACACCTTAAAGCCTCTTTCTGATACAGTTTTCTGTGTCACTGTCAAACCCTGGCAAAAGAATTAAGTTACTAAGGAGGAATCATCAAGGGCCTGGTGACACTGTTGAAACCGGACACGTGTCTCCCCACTGGATCTCCAGGGTGCCCCACATCACGTCTATCTTCCTGATTTCTCCTTTTCTTCTTTTTTTTAAACTGCCGCTGTCATTTCTCAGGGTAGCAAGTGATTACACAGGGAGGTAGTGTTTGTGCTTGTGAATGTCGCTGTGCAGCTGGACAGGGAGGCTCAAAGGAATCCTTGTTTTAACACCCCAAGAGGAAGAGGCAACCAAACAGGGGACATTAATGTCCCCAAGTCTGCAGAGGTGGCTTCTTTGCTGCAGGAAGCTGAGTGGCTGGCAGAGACAGTGAGTGGGCGACACTGCATTCAAAAGCAAAGAGAGATGCACAGGGCTCCCGCAGACCTTGCATGCCAAGTCAAAAACACCTAACATGCACTTGGATTTCGCTGAGAAGTTAGATTATTGAAGATCTCCAGGGGCGTACATGCACATGTTGCAGAAAGACACAACACGCCATTTCCGGACAATGTGGTAAACTTACTGTAATCTTAAGCAATGCTTCTTTAAAACAGGAAGCGCCACTCAGCTGGTGAAGAACATTGGACAAAAGAACAGCTAGTGCCATTTTACTATAACTCAACACGCTGGCACGCCCACGTTACCTGCAGCGTTACCTGAGTTTTAAAGCCCCCATAAGACTTTTGTCGTAACCACTGCGTATATTTCTATATGTTTTTTTGGTATCTATTATGTATGCAAAGTACATATTTTGAAAATTCGCAGCAAAACCACCAAACGTGATGCTTACAGTCTACGGAGCAGCCGTCCTGTTACGTGGAAGAGCTGAAAGTTTCATTACATCACATGTTTGCAGGGGATTCCTCCCTTTGCTTGAACCAGGTTTCAATAAAACAGTAAAATAACTCCATCTGAGTTAATTAATCAATTCCTTTAAACAACACCTATCTTATTTTGACTGTAATACTGTCATGACCTCTAATATATATCGTTAATTAATTATTTCGCTTGAGAGACACCTGTAAAGCCTTTTCCCATCAGTTCTCTGTATTATATTGCCTCCTTCAGGCGTACTGCAGCAACTGCACATAAAGCCAGCACGATTCGTGAGTTGGCAGAAAACGGGAGTCAGCAGGTTACTTCTGAATCGAGACTCATATTCCCAGAATTCATGTTAGTTCCGCCTCAGTGGCGTATCGCCTTCTTCACCGCCTCTTTTCCTCCTGCTCTCCGTTATCCGCTGAAAGGAGTTGTGTCCCGGCGAGCAGCGTCCTGAAACAGCTTTTCCGCTGCCAGCTGCGGTTGCAGTGGGAGATGGATGAGAAAGAAAGCATGCTCAAGGATGCCAGATGGAGACAGGGGAGGTAGGGATGTGTGCATGAGCACAGTGTCTGAAGGCTGGTCACCGTTGCTGTGAGAGTGTGATGTGCTTTTCTCCCCCCCAGCACTCAGACTTCCAGATTTATTGTCTGGTGCATCCCTTCTGCCTGTCAGGAGGGGTGTGACACGGACGCTCCTGCAGATCCACTGTTTCAATTAAAAGCAACTGTTGGTTTTCTGAAAAGATGGCTTTTCAAGGGGAAAGCTTATGCCATGCAAAAAATATTTTTGGGAGGCCTACATAGTTGATTCACAGTAGAGCCAGCTGACAACATTGTGTCTAGATGCAATGCATTTTTTTCCAAGCTAAACTGCTATTTCTTTGCTTTTCAATGAATTATAAGATCCCTGAAATAAGATATAAAAATTAAAACAAATAAAAAATATCAATTGTCCTTACACCTATAGTACTGTTCACACTGATTGTTAAATTCAACCAGTCTGATCAGTCAACAGTTCAGGACCCAATGATAATGAAGTGATATTAAACATAAAAAGCAACAAATCCTTATATTTCACGACCAACGTTGCCAATTGTTTTACAGAGTAAATGAATAATAGATTAATTTACGGTGGAAATGAATGTGTTGTTCATCACTGAGTCAATTTCATTATGATTTTACCTGCTGGATTCTTCCCCAGTCACTGCTGAGTTCATCTCTTAAATGTTAAACCCAGGCAGCACTAAAACCATCTAGAGGCTGTTGATAGAGGTATTGCTTCAGATAAGTGACAGGGAAACTCAAAATAATAGGCTGGTAATGAATCACTATTCTTAGGGGAAGTAGGAAGGTTGCTACTTTACCACTGAAGCATAAAACTGTAATTTTATGGAAGAGTGTAAAAGATCAAAGAGCTAATTAAAAGCCAGACAAAATATCTGTGCAGAGTGTCTCGTTCAGTTATCGATTGGGCTGTAAGACAGCTTCAGTGGTGTCCACCACACTGAAAGTGCCAAGCTGTAAGTTGAGCTGTACTTTGATCCAACAGATTACTTGATTACTTACTTACAAGGATGAGAGTTATATAATATACAATTCCTGTAGTATAGTGGTGAAAATAATCCTTGATCAACAACGAGTCACTCAACAACACCTGCATGTCAGGCAAGAATCTAAACCAGTTCTTTGTAACAGATCAGTTTTCTCTCTTCAACTATTGTTTAAAGAACACAAGCGATGTGATGACACAACTTCTCAGCATAAATGTGGGCTATGAAGTATTTATTATGTTTTCTGCCATTTCATTTCAAGGCCACGTTTAAAAAAAATTAAATGAAAACATTGCATCCTGTCAGAGTTTTTTTTTGTATAGTCAAAGTTGGACTGTGTTGGGAAAGTTATGAACCGTAGTGGTTTAGTTATTTGTCTAACAAGTTAAATATTTTGAGTAGAGCTACAAAGTCCTTTAGGGTTGTGTCAGGAAGATCATCTGGCATAAAAATCTGCCAGATCAAACATGCAGTGCTACAATTGTGGCTCTTGGGGGGATCGCCCTAATGGGGCGATCGTGGCTCAAGGGTTGGGAGGTCGCCTTGTAATCGGGAGGTTGCCGGTTCGAGCCCTGGCTTAGACAGTCTCGGTCGTTGTGTCCTTGGGCAACCACCGACTGGTGGTGGTCAGAGGGCCCGGTGGCGCCAGTGTCCGGCAGCCTCGCCTCTGTCAGTGCGCCCCAGGGTGGCTGTGGCTACAATGTAGCTTGCCATCACCAATGTGTGGATGACTGGATGTGTAAAGCGCTTTGGGGTCCTTAGGGACTAGTAAAGCTATACAAATACAGGCCATTTACCAATAAAGGAACAGCTGAAAGTAGCTTCCAAATTGCAAATTCTGATCAAAACACACAGATGAGCTTTATGACTAAAGATGTTTGGTGTCTAACTTAGCTATTGTTGTATATAAGTTCATTTTGATTAAAAGATCAATCAGCACTAAAACGAATAATGAGCCATATATGGTAAATAATATAGCAAATTTCTTGTAAGTGTGACTTGCAATACTTCAAACATAAAACAAAGAACTAATGCAACCTGCTCGTCAAGTGATGCAGATATCTGAATTTCCAAATAGCTCATGTTGGGCCCAGAAGATCTAGTATGATGTTAATATACTGATACACTATTTATCCCAAATGGTTTTCTTGTGAAGAGCAGCTATCAGAATCAGAATACTTTATTGATCCCTGGGGGAAATTATTTTTTTGTTACAGTGCTCCAGTACAGCTACAGTAACTTACTCACTTTGAAGAGCTGAGGTGTGCTTTTGTGTGCTCTTATTGCACGCTCCCCAAAGGCTAGTCCTCACCCCTCTTTCCTTTTATAGCCTCAGACATGTGGAAGAAGGGGAGGGTGATGGAGGGGGGCAGCCTGTGTGAAGGAGTGGCCCACTTCTACAAACATGGCGCCATGGCTGGATGTGAACGGTGTAAATGTGTAACAAGGTGCCTGCCCCTCCCTCATCCACCCTCCATCCCTCCTACTCTCATCTGCTGTTGGGGATATGATCCAAAGAGGAGAGAGAAGCCGGGGAGAGCCTTGCCTCCTTGTCACTCTCTCACAACACCGTGAGAGCACAGGACGCATGCTGTCCTCCAGTACACCCACACACACTAGCACGGAGAGTGAGAGACACTGAGGCAGAGTGCGAAAGAGAAAGAGGGGTACAGGAACGAGGAAACTAAAAGAGGGAGGGACATAGCAAAGCCAAATCCTGACGGGAGAAAACTGAAGGGTTTTCTGTTTTCTCCTGAGGAGCTGCGAATAACCCTCGGTGAAAGATGGCAGAAGGGGGAGAGGGAGAGGAGGAGATTCAGTTCCTGCGAACGGTAAGTCCTACTTACTTTCCTATTGTGAAGGACTAACCTGCCCATCTGTTTGTAGACGAGTTCTAGAGATTAGTGGATGGAGAGTGAAGTCACGAGTTATTAAAGAAAAGAAGTGAGAAGAGAAACAAAACTATTTTTTTTATGTAGGAAAATCATTTGATTTAACTTTCAACCAGTCCTCATATTCCATCATCAGTTTCATGGCGCTTTCAGTGTTTCCTGGACGAATGGTTTCTTCACTTGTATCCCTTTTGCTCTCCTGGCATCGAATTTTTTAAAACTCAGATTTTGTAGTTGCAGTTCACAGAGCCAAGTCCTGCTTCTGTATATAGTTGACTATTTTTACGCCGCCCTCATTGTGCCATGACCTGCTTATTAGTTGATCTCTTTAAACCTAATAATTGATTATTTCAGTTTCGTAAGAGCTCAGAAATACATTACTCAGTCATATTTAGATCTTTCCACAATGCACCGCATATTGTCTTGCATAATCTCTTTTAAATTATCTTCATAATCTTCTAGATTTAAGAATAGGTGGTAACAGAGTATGTGTGCATATGTGTGTGTGAGCACAGATAGATAGACAGGGGCTGGTGCATCTGTTAGCATCGTTATCTATTTATATCTAAGGAAAGTAGAGCCTGTCAGAGTGGGGTGAGAAGGCAGAGCAACAAGCTAGCCAGAGTTTGCAGGGGACAGCTGCCCAAAAGCTATACATCTTCCTTAGTGACGCAAACAGACAGAGTGTTGCGATAGCCACTTCACAGTTTAAAACCTGTAGGAGAAGACCCCCCCAGAACCATCTGCACCAGCTGAGAAGGCAAAATAGGTCTTTATAACCACAATATGTGAGAAAACACTCAATGAAACTGGTCTAGATGTCTGTATTGATCACTGTTTTTTATTTGAATCCACACTGCTTCTATCACTGCAACCTAAAACTTACCAACTTATATTAGGACCTACAAGAGATCTGGGCAAAATGTTTCCCAACCCCTTTCCTTTTACTTTATGTCAGCTGGGATAAACTCCAACCCCTACAATCATAAATTAGATGAAATATGTTTCCTGAACTCCCAATTAATGCTCAGTGCAGGGAACCTATTGTTAATTCTTCTCGTTATATCTTTGCCTGTGTGAAACGTAATAATTCCTTCGAAAAATTCATTTAGATATCGTATATTATTTTCACTGACACATATATTATGTGTCAGTGAAAAGTAATACTGACTTTTGAGCAGACTGTTTCCAGACGCTTGTGTGAGCTATCAAAGTGTTTCACTTGGTTTTCCTTTGCAAACAGCTTTAACAAAAACACTGCAGTGAAATGTGTTTCTGCTAGTTTGTGTAATTGCTATCATTGCTGAAATGTTTACCTAAGTGACACTGAATCTGTTTCGATGTGAATACCAAAGTGCAAGTACAAGTATAAAAGAGCGTAGACAGAGGCATACAGAACAACCAAAAGCAAATTATTGATGGACAGGATTCATTTCAAGCTTGTGAAGCCAGCTCACAATAACCACAAGAATTACAGAGTAACACAGCTGTTGCTGTCTCAAAAAAATGTTTTTTTCTATCTTAAGAAACTTACAAATGAATTGCAAGCCACACTTTGAATGCCTTCAGCAGGTTTGTCATTTGGTCCAAGAGGATCAGTTAGGATGAAACTATAGAACACCAACACTTCAAAAGAAAAATAAATAGTGTAGCTCTCTTTGAATTATTAATGTCTTGTGGACTTCAATGGGTTTATCTTTGACACTAACAGTGTCAGGGTCAGAGGTTCTGTCGACATTTTTTGCAGGAATACAGTACTAAAAATGTTGGTGCTCATGGCGCTGTTAGGCCTTTGGATTAAAGCATCCACCAAATGTTTCTGGTTATTACTCTTTTAAATACATGGGAGGCATTGTGTGAGTCAGCTGTCTCACTCTGTTGGGGTAGTTCCCTTGGTTATGTTGGAAGTGGGAGGTGTGAAGAAAATGAAGAGAGAGCACAGAGGAGGTTTTAACTCACCTGGACCAGCTGGGCAGCAGATTGTAGCTATGTCCAATGTTATCTTTTTGCCGTTATGTAATGAGACATGAAGGTTCATAGCCTGCACGTCAAGGCTTTCTTTTGAGCTCAGGGTTTTGGCTTATACCTAGAAAATACTTCTGTAAAACAATTTCAGGCAAATGAGCAAAGTCAACCTTTAAAGTTAAGAGAAATGCAGGTAATTATTTTCGTTATGAGCTAGCTGTTTAAGATATTAGTTCAAGTAAAGCATAAGTTATATCTTACTAACGCCTGTAGGTCATAGAAGTAAAATTTTGGGACTCACAAGTAATGTGTTATATGCAGTTACGGTTAACTTGACTGCCGGTGTTTTTTTCTCTTTTATTCAAGGTCCTAATTTTATAAAGTTCAAATGCCCCCTCATGTCCATCATCGGGACTACAAGTCATAATTTGGACTTCCCTACTCCCCTGTGGAAATCACTGAACCCTTTTGTTGTTTGTTTATTAAAGCAGCTGAAAGAAAAAGCATTGTAATCTCATTGGTCCCTTTGTTTTTATCATTTTCTCTGTTACTCTATTGTTTTTCACCCCTGCTGGGAATCCTCCAAGTAACAAGAAAAGCCGTGGGAGTTTTAGCGTAAGGCAATGCATTTAGTGCTGCATTTAGTGATTTGGGGGTTAGGGGTGGGGGATGTTTAATAGTGAGGGAGGAAAAGAAGACAAGATGAGATCCGTTAAATTGTAAATGCTGTTCAGTGTGGGACACGGGGAACACTTCAGCACATCTCCAGTGACTGTTTTTACATCACGAAAAGCCACTTATAGATTACTCAGCAGTCCTTCTCTATTTGGTTCTGGTTTATGGTGTTCTTGTAATACAGCCCTGGCCTGTGACTCATACAGCGGTGACTGATCGCAGTGTGGCTTGAATAGTTGTACATTCAGAAGTGAGCTTAGCCTTTCCACCTGCTCTGCAGTAGCAGGTTATCTAAAATCGGTCTCCACTCAAACAAAGTGGATGCCCTTCGGTGAACTACAGGTATCTCGTACTCAGCCTGCCCCCTAAAAAATGTGCAAGCACTTCAGCCCCCGCATTTACTGTCAGAGCAGAGACTGTCTTTACTTGCAGTAGCTAGCAGACTTTTCTTTTCTCTTCAGTGGTAGCCACAGCCTGCACTGATGTCTCACATAAACGTGAAAGATCCCAGACAGCGGTGCTGTTTCTCTGTTGGTGAAACTAAAAGCTGTGTCACTGTTTCACGATGCCACATTTGCCATTTTAAAGCACACAAGCAAGCGAGTTTAAGGGGCAGTCGAGTTCCAGTCTATAACAGCAGTTTCTTTTTATAGTGTGCCACTATAAGTGCACACGTTCAGGAGGGAGAAACCAGAGGAGCCAGTGTCCTATTTGCCAGCATCCTTTGGGAGAAGTGGTATGTGTACATGTGTAGACATGGGTGTCTTTCTCTGTGCATCAAGCGAACAGAGACACTGTACATTGTTTTGACAGTTATGACATTTACGGTCAATACAGGCCTGAATATCGCCTTTAAACCAGAACACTATGGGCTGTTGAATTATGTTTGCAGTGAACACTGAATTGGTATTTTGCTGGGTAAAAGGAGAGAGTTAAGAAATCCTCTAAAACAATAGATTGTTTTGTAAGTCATTAAAATGTAAAAAAAAATAAAAATAAAGATATTGTTGGGAAAAAAAAACAATAGATTGTAACTATAAAATCAAGGCCTTTGTTTTTATCTTTATAATTTTCATTTTTATTCATCCATCTATTTTCCTCAGCTTATTCAAGCCAGGGTCATGGGGGGGGTTACTCATCTGCAGATGAGATGAGACTGACTGAGGAAGGCCAAAACTGTTGATACATATTTTGTTTGATGGTGTTCCTGTATAACTGTACTGAGATACGGAGTCTCCATATTTCACCCTGAACGACTGTGTCCCTTCTCTTTTGATATCTCTCTCTCTTTTCTAACACACACACATACACTGAGCACATCTGTGAGCTACAGTAGCAGCAGATATTGTACTGACAGCAGATGACAGACGGGGTAATGGGGATAGGGAGAGTGCAAGCAAAACACCGCTTTAGAAGTGCTGAGCCTAGGAGATAACCACATCCACATTGGAATAGCAACACATATAAAGCTGCTCTCTCTCTCACACACACACACACACAAACACACACACCCAGCACCTGTCATTCTGCCTGCTTTGGTCACAGCAGTTTACACAATAAACAGGTGGTCCGCTTTGCTCTTGTGGGGGGTTCTGTACAAGCGTTGCAAAGTGACACAACTGTCTTGTTATGCTTGTGTGTGTTTGTTTACACTTAAATAGTCCAAACAAAGTGAAGTGAGGGGAACTGTAAAGAGTTAAATACTTACAAACTTAAGGCAAACACAACTTGTTTTGGCATTGCTATGCCTCATTCCAGTTGTTATCATACAGCCTGTATTTAACCAAAAAACAAAAATAATGTCTTCTACTGTTCTGTAGCTGGTAAACAAATAAACCGAACACTCCTAATACTTCATATACAGTCATGGATATATTCTAGTTCATGGTATAAAACTCAATAATCAGACACATGCTGTTAGAGACTGTATTCATAACGCACACATCAAAGCTGAATCTGCATTTATGAGTTGTTACGTCATCATTGTCTAGCACTGTATCACAGTTTAACAACATAACCCATTTTAACAGGAAAACATTGTAGAACCAGTGTCATTGTGATAGATTACATTAATTCTGTCATTGAATATCTTATAGAAATGAATGGAACATAGAAGCATGGTGTGCAAATGTTTAGTGTTTTTGTCTTTTCAGTCCTTGTATTTTTGGGTATTTTGCTGTATGTTCATTTTTAACATGTAACACTTGTCTTGTCATCTTGCTGTGCCGTGACTCTTAATGCTGCGTGTAACTTCAAAATTTCACATCTGTCTTACATTGGCTTGCTGATCAGCAAAATAT